ACACCTAAATTTGAATTTTACTTAAATAAGTAATCATTAGTTAGTGTAAGTTATGTCACAAATACTGGATGTATTTACCTTAATCCAAGTTTCACTGGGTGTACTGTATTTTATCTAGCAAACCTAAATAAGGAACACAAGACCTTGAGTCATCGAAAAAGCACAAACTATATTAAATATATAGTTTAAAAAGCACATAACAAATGCAATACTAGAAAATGTCCCATTGATAGAATTTAGATTGAAATAAAGAAAAGTTTCAATCATTTGGAAAGTTACATGAAATACCTTGGGCTGTGCATGTTCAATTCCCTATAGAGTGCTGTGCATAAAATAAACACTTAGTAAACATTTGTGATTAATGTAAAGGTTAATACACCATATTCCCATTGGTGGGACACCTCAAGCTTCTAAAGGTCATTCCTAGCTCCTCCCAGTCACTTAGTTTTAGAATTTCTTCACACCTTTTCCTGCAGGTGTCAATTCCATAGTCTTGCTTAAGTCCATGCCTGACTCACTCAGAGTTGGTGTCACCGTCTTTGTTTCAGCTTCCAGTTCCCTCTTGTGCCTTTTTTCCTGTGCCTCCATAATGTCACCACGAATGTTCCCTGATGAGATTTTATTTCGGTTTTTTTTTTTGAGAGAGAATGGACGATGCCTTCACTTTCCCAGTATTTTGGGCTTCCTTCTGCAAGCCATTGTTATAAGAGTCAGGCAGGTGTGTGGTATGAAGGAAATGGAGAAAGAGGCCCAACTCCTCTCCCCAACCCCACCCACTGTTAACAAGCATCACCATGGGACCAATAATTGGTCACTAACAGCCCTTAGGGCCTGTGTTAAGGCAAAGGTTTGATGAGATGCCCAAGAAACTGTTAGGTTTTATCTGAAATTTATGTCCCATCATTATTCTTTGTGACCAAATCAGACCAAGAAATTGTTCTCATCTTAGACTGTGAGGAAACAGTCCACAGTCACTCTTGGTTGGAGTTGCCTCTGCACAGTGCATCCTGGAGTGGCTCTGTGGGAACAAGACACAGCTCCCATCTTAAAGGAAACTTAGTTTCTACCTTACATGTTCGCTGAAGATTGTTTTATAAAAGTTCCATTTACTATAATAAGTAGGGAAAATGTCATCCCAACAACCTTCAACCTGAAAACAAAAAGCCAGTACATCTCATAATAATGCCTAGCACATAGTAAGCCTTAGTAAGTGATGGTTATTTTTATCATGCTAAGGCAAACTCCAAAATCTCCCCAAGCCTGAGGTAAGGGATGAATCTCAAAAGTATCTCTTGTCTTTTAGACTGCCTGGAGCCAATGATGGCTGCCAATCAGTTTCTCAGGCAACTGCTCCCACTGCAGACACATCCCTTCAGGTCCTCCACTTCCAGCTAGACTACTGCCAACAGCCTCTACTCAATTTTGTCTTATTCCTGAGTAATGAACTTAACTACCAACTCTGATTTCATTTCTAAGGTGGTTCCTTATTATCATCTATTGTATTTCAAAAATAGAAGATATTTTCCCAAAGGTGAGTGGGGATTCAGACTCAAACTGTTAAACTGGTATTCCCAATTATTCTCCACTTGTCACTCCAATTCTTATTGGAGCTGCATTTTTTATTGTTTTGGTCATTCATAATTGTTGATCCAAAACTCATAATACTTCTGAAACAAATACCACGGTTATTCATTGGAAAGAGAATCAACCAGCCCAACTTAAAAGTTCTCTGACAAGCAGTTCAGGAATAGTGAGTGTCAGGATTAGGGCCCAATTCTAACCTCTAAAATCCACTCTGTCTCTTAGGTACAAGAGATGATGATAGTGATCAGGTTAATTAAACTGGTATAGTGGTAAGTTATTTTGGAATAAGAGAGTAACATAAAAGAGAAGATTGAAGTGCATACGAAAACTATTTTAAACTATCATGGTGGTCTTCCTTGTTTTAACAACGTGTGACAACAGTCTGCTATGTCTAAGACACTGTGTTTGACAAGTTGGAAGTTACCAAGATGAAAAATACCTTTGTTCCCTCCTTCAGAGAAGCTGTAGTCTAATGGGGAAGATACACAAGTAACACGAGAGAGAGTGTAAATGAAGGAGCCCAGAAAACATCTAGTTTCCAAATCAGTGAAGTTGGATTATTCTCTTTATTCCACTTACAGGTGAGTTAGAGTCTGGGTTGGGTGGTATTTGGGGCAGTATTTACAGGGATTCTCACCACGACCCAGATGTATTCTTTATTTAACTAATAAAAATATTACAAGGTATAGTGTTAATACCACTTTACTGTTGAACTTTTGGCCCACGCCTAAGGTCATGCAGTCTAAAATAGATCAGAACTGGGATCATTACTCAAGTTTATAAGCCCACTAAAGATATATTCTGCACTGTTGACTTGGACAGCAAAGAAACCTGGAAGGAAAGAGATGAATTAATTTAAATTTTATAAAGCATCATAATGCAAATAAGTAGCAGGTGGTCAATAAAAAAATGCTGCCTTTTTTTTTGTTTGTTTGTTTTTGAGAGGTTTTTGCTATAGGGCGCATGCACTTGCCAGACAAACAGAGAGAGACAGAGAGATAGAAAGCGAGAAATCACCCCCCAGTGGGGATGGCCATGCCGTAATCCCTTCTCCATTCTCCTCTCGGGATCTTGGGCATGCACACACATGCGCCCAGTGTGAGTTTAAGCCACTGGGTCCAGGACTCAAACTGCGGTCGACTATGTGGGAGTCCAGCGACATAGCCATTACACTAACTGCTGGTCCCAAAAAAATGCATTTATTTTTAAGGATAGTCTTAACATGTGTTCCAGAATACACCAAAGAATGTCTTTTATGACTGCTTTACTGTACTTTGCTTCTCCATGGAATCTGATACTTGAGTACCACACTTTAAAAGATGATTGATTGTTAAATGATCACATTTCTGTTCTTGGCAATTGTGAATTCCCAGAAAGTATTGGGGAATGACGTGGGGCTGTGTGGCCCACATGACTTATTTTCATATCCTAAATAATGTCTTTCATTGCCTCTCCAAAAAAGCTAGCACTCATCTGTAGATCACTAAGACTTACTAATCACACTTTTTACTTCATTGACTAACAAGCGGCTAAACAGAAATTCATATTCTTCTCATTCCTCTTGGTTCTTACCTACTTAAAATGTGGCCCATTGGCATCACTTGGGAGTATGCCAGAACCTACTAAATCAAAGTCTGCATTTTAACAAGCTCCCCCTGGTGATCATATGCATATTAAATTTGAGAAGCTCTGCCCTAGTGCACTTAGCTCCCTCTGGCAGCTGTGCTAATGACACTGTGCCATGGTCCTCAGGTGCATGCCAAGCTCTCTGTGAGGACAGAGTAGTACTAAGATAACAAAGATATGGTGCCTGTGATAGAAAGAAAGTAGAATAGAAGAAAGGGGTCTAGGCAATCTAAAAATGCTCACCTGAATCAATGAGAATTTCTGTATCTAAATGTCCTTCTGCTCTGCGAAAAGGTAAAGTTCATGAGGCTTTCAATGGAGACAGTACACCTGAATGTTGTGTTTGCTTTTTGAAAAAATCGTAACGAGGAAAACAGTAAGAGGAAGAAAAACAAAAACAAAAACATGCACACATCTCTCATGCTGATCAACCATTTCTTCATGCCCTAGTAAATGTCCCTCCACAGCACTCCAAGAGCAATGTCAGAAAGCTAAGCTTCTCAACAAACTTTTCTTAAGTGTCTGCTATATGCCCATCTCTGTGCTGGGTGCTCCAGTTACAAATAAACACCACACGGGCATGCAAACAACATCTAGTTGGTACCCCACTAATCTGTGGGTACCAACATAAGGCTATGGCTTGCAGAATGAATGAAAAGGACTAATTCTGCCCCAGTTTTCTTTTGTCTGTAAACCTTGTAGCATTACCTTCATGGCACAGGTGTCCCTCTCAATAATTTTTTTAGCACCCGAGACACAAATGTTTGAATTAGAGATAGCTACTTTCTTTGGAGGTGGGAATGGTCTTTTAAAACGCATCATCATCTGCTGTCCAGCAACATTTGTCCTAAAACTGTGCAACTCATCATTCCAGCACTGTGCTCTGTATCAGTATCTTTAAACTGCGGCCTGTGGGTTTGTGCCCAGCCACAAGATAAGTAGTATAAAGCAAGATAAATCAACAATGACAGTTTAAAAATTTTTTTAGAACATTTTTAAAAGCTGCTTTTTTTTTTTTTTTTCCTTTTCAGAGAAAGACAGAGTGAGCAGTGTGAGCACCTCCAACAGGGTCGTGCCTCTGCACTTCCTCAGCCTCAGCCAGCCCAGATCTTGGGCATGCATGCCTGTCTTACTCAGGAAGGTTTCCAGCCTCAAACTGAGAACCTTCCCATGTGCAGAGTGTTGCATTTTACCACTGAGCCACTACCTGGCCCTGACATTTATAGCAATATTTATAGAAACATTTATAGCAACTTGACATAGTTACAGAATACAAGGACATTACCAGAGGACCAGTCTCATTGAACAGTTTTAGTTCACTTGTTGAACTAGAATGAGTGAGTCATGTGTGAGAATAACTGTAGACTAGCAATTGAATGGTATATAATATTTTAAGGTTAATTTGTCAACTCTAGCACTAAAGTGTATAAAATCTAGAACTCATCTGATGCACTTGTTTAATAAAGATCATTTAAATCTAACTATAATTTTAAAGGATCAATTTTTTTAACCACCTGCTGATGAAGGATTGAAAATGAATGTTGCATACATGTAATATAACATGCTTCATTTTGGAAAAAAGTTAATGACTATCATTTTTCTTTCTCATCAACCTACCTCTCTGAGGCAGGTTTCTCTACTCTGAATGCTAGTAAAACAAACATAGTAACTATTAATATTTAGGCCTACATGACCCCCTGTTAGTAGCACCGTCATTTTTCCAACCTAGATTATATCATTTAACAAGCAAAAAGCAAGCTCACTTGTCACATGAAAAACTTTAAATATTGCCTCTCTCAGTTCTGCATAGTCACCCTTAGTCTCACCCGCATGACTTCCTTGAAGGGGAGAGAGAGTAAAGATCCCCTGGGGACCCTGGAGTGGCCTCACGTAACCTTTCTTTATAAAAAATTTTTATTTAATTTTATTGATTCATTTATTTTTTAATTTGACCAGAGAGAGACGCAGAGAGAAAGAGGGAAAGTGAGAAAAGCAAGCCACCAGTTCCGGGACTCAAACCATGGTTGGCCATGTGGATGTGTCCAGCACCTTAGCCACCACACCATCTGCTGGTGCCCCTTTGTTGAGGGGTACAACAGGTCTTGAGGGAGGGTAGGAAAAAAAATAAAAACTTTAAATATTAACATAAAAGATGTTTCAAATGTATTTAATATGGAGAATTGCTATTTCCTTTGTAACTTTTCATTTTTTCAGATATGTGGAACTGCAAAACAGTAGTGCAACGAGACTATTCGTTGCCTTACTCAGGCTTTCAATGAAAAATGTATTCATTTTTCTAATTTATTTTTCCTGTTTTGTTCCTCTGGTTGTATTTATTAAATATATATCTATGGAATCTAATAATAAAAAAATGGGCCTGTATTCTATATTTTTCTCTTTTTAATGTTTTCCTAGTAATTTCATTTATCTTCTACTTCTAGTAAGTATTAGTCAACATAAATCTTATTTCCTTCTTTTCTTAAATAATTATTTATTTAATTCCATTTATTGTTACTATTATTTTTTAATTTGACAAGAGACTGAAAGAGAGAGAAAGGGAAAGGGAGAAAGCAAGCTGCCAGGTCTGGGACTCAAACCACAGTCTGCCACGTGGGAATCCAGCACCTTTAACCACCATGCCACCTGTCAGCCTCTGTTTTCTTCTTTTAATAAGTATTAGTCAACATATATTTGAGGCAAAATCGTTTTTCACCTCAGATAGTCTGAGAAAAACTTCTCTGTAGTAGCCTTCCTGTTAATGACTACCACTATAAAATCTAGCACGGCAAAAAATAAAGAATACTATTAGTGAATATGGAGAGTGTTAACTATGTGCCAGATACTGGTCTAAGTGCTTTACATATATTAACTTTTTTATTCTCACCTTATAAACTAGCTGCTATTGTATCACCATATTACTAATGAAAGAACTGAGGCACAGAGAGGTTGAGTTCCTTGCCCATTGTCACATAGCTTTGAAGTAGTACAGCTCAGTTCCACATTCCATGCTGTTACCCAAAGGGGAACATAAGACATGCATTATAGTCCTCTACTAAGTAACTATGGACTTAGGTGACGCACTTAAACTCTGAGGGAAAAGAAAATGAAGAATTATAAAAGATAACAAGACCTACATTACCAAGTCCTTACCATGTGCCAGATATCAAGCTCAGTATTTTACATGCATGAGCTCAGTGTCTCCTAAGTGTGGGTGATACAGGAAATGGTTTTGAGTTAATAGCAAAATGATTTAGTGGTACATGGGCAAGACAGAAATCACAAATTGCATCACAGAGTGAGAAAGCTATTCATTCTTCAATTCTCTGACTCCCTGTCATCACATCTGGCAGAGTCTCCCTTCGGTGTAGGTCTTGAATGACTTTCTAATATCAACTTCCTCCTCTGTGTTATAAAAGGTAGGTTTAACATTTTCTCAGACCTCATGGTCTTTTCTATTTTCATCGCACCTTCAATTTAGGACAAGTTGTTTCCTATTTAAAACAGGGATATAAAATTTCATTTAATACATTTACTGAAGTTTAAAAAGTGAGCTACAGGGGCTGGCAGGTGGCAGGGCGGTTAAGGGCATCGGGCTCCCACATGGTCAACCACAGTTTGAGTCCCGGACCTTATGGCTTGCTTTTCTCACTTTCCCTTTCTCTCTCCCTCTCACTCATTCCCTCTCTGGTCAGATAAATAAATAAATAAATAATATGTATATTTAATAAATAAATACTATTTATATTTAATATCATTTATTTATTTAAGATAAATATAAATAGTATTTATTTATTTATTTAAATTTAAGTTAAATAAAATAATTCTTAAAAAAATTGAAGAGAGCTATAGTTCTCTCTCGGGGCTTCAATTCCAAGATGACAAGAAAAGAAGGAAAACGGACATGCCCAGAAGGGCTGGAGCCACATGCAGCCTATCTGCTGCATGAACCGTGCTGTTGTGTAACCAAAGACAAGGCTATTCAGAAGTTCATCATTCAAAACATAGAAGAGGTCGCAGCCATCAGGGACTTCTCCGAAGCAAGTGTCTTCCACCCCTCTGTGTGCTCGCCAAGCTGTATGTGAGGCTACATTACTGTGTGAGTTGTGCCTTCATAGCAAGGTAGTCAGGAACCGATCTCATGAAGCTGGGAAGGACCTAAGGCACCCACTCTGCTTAAGACCCGTGCGGGCTGTCACACACCCTCCACCAAAGCCCATGTAAGAAGCTGAGTCTTTAGGGACTGAAGAACTGTCCTCTGGGAAAAAATAAAATGCTAATTATACATTACAAAAAATAAATAAAGGTCCAGTGGTTGGCTTGGGGGTTGGGGCACTGGATTTCCACAAGGTCGACTGCAGTTCAGTCCTGGACCTAGCGGCTTGCTTTCTCTCTTTCTCTCTCATTTTCTCTCTCTCTCTCTGGTGAGCTCATGTGCCCTATAACAAATTAAAATATAATAATAAAATAATAAATAAAATTTATTATAGCTTATAAAACTATTAAAATAAGTAAATAAAAATAAAAAATGAGCTATAGGCCTGACCCCATAACCTAGTGGTTAAAGGACTTAGATCTCAAATGACTGCAAATTGAATCCTAGCCCCAGCAGCTTGAAAAACGTGCCAGACATTTGTGTATACATGCCTCAGAATCCCTCTGGAATGGAGAGGGATGGCAATGTGACCCTGCCCCATTAGAGAGCACTTTCTCCTTCTCTCTCTCTCTCTCTCTCTTAGACTCTGTGTCTCTGGCAAGCGCACACACTCTTCTGCAATTAAAAAAAATTTTTAATTAAAAAAATGAGCTACAGGGACTAGCAGTTAGCGCATAATAGCTATGTCACTGGACTCCCATGTAGTTGACCGCGGTTTGAGTCCTGGACCCAGTGGCTTAAACCCACGCCGAGCGCATGTGCGTGTGTGTTCATGATCCCGAGAGGAGAATGGAGGAGAAGGGATTGCGGCATGGCCATCCTCCGTAGGGGGTGATTTCTCGCTTTCTGTCTCTCTGTCTGTCTCTCTGGCAAGCGCACGCATCCTATAGCAAAAACCTCTCAAAAAAAAAAAAAGAGCTACAGAATACAGCGGATAATACTATTGGTCTTCCATGACTAACGAAGTTCAGAAAACCATTATTAGGGGCCCAGCGTCAGTGGCACATGCTACTAAGATACTGCACTGCTGTGTCTTGCAGGCTGGGACCACCTGGAAAGTCTGGGTTCAATTCCTAAAGGACAGGCACAGTGGTATGTGTGCAGGCACTTGAGAGACAAAGGCAGGAGGATCACAACCCAGCAAAACCCTGTGTTTAAAAAAAACAGTTCATCATTTTTTGATAGCTGAATAAAATAGGTACTATTCTGTATTTGTAGGTAGAAGCTCTGAGGTTTAGAAACATTTAGTTGCTCCATAGGAAGTTGATGAGCTAGGATTCAAATTTAGAGACGTCTGCCTTCAAAATCGCTACATAAATTGTCTCCCTTAGATAATGACCATGTATATTTCTTTCCAGGACTAACACTATAGATTCTTTATACTTCACGATCTGAAACAGCAATTCTCAAAGTATGGTCCATTCCAGGTGCTCCTCCTGGTAAAAGTATTTTTAATCAAACAAGTAAAATATTGTCTCTCGTTTCTTTACAAGCATACACGGGAGAAGGCTCCATGACATGTGATATCACAATACGTCGAATACAGAAGTGGATATGAGAATCCAGCTATCTTCTCTCATATCAGATTTTAATAAGCTTTTTTCTTTCTTTCTTAAGGGACACAGAGACAGAAAGCGAGAAATTACCCCCCAGGAGGGATGGCCATGCTGCAATCCCTTCTCCTCCATTCTCTTTTCAGGATTTTGGGCACGCACACACATGCGCCTGGTATAAGTTTAAGCCACTGGGTCTGGCACTCCAACCACAGTCAACTACATGGGAGTCCAGCGACATAGCCATTATGCCAATTGCTGGTCCCCGGACTTTAATAAGCTTTTAGAAACATAAACACAGTCTTCTCACAAAATCTTTCTAGTTTGTTTCCTTTGGAAAATACAGAGTTTTTGTTTGTTTGTTTTTGCCTCTTTTTTTTTAGAATTATTTTATTTCATTTAACTTATTTATTCATTTATTTTAATTTGACCAGAGAGAGACAGAAAGAGAGAGGGAGAGTGAGCAAGCAAGCCACCTGATCCGGGACTCAAACTGTGGGAGTGTCCAGCACCTTAACCACCATGCCACCAGCTGGTCCCCTGAAAAATATAGATTTTTTACAATAAGAAAATATGGGAACCAGCAGTTAGCGGAATGGCTATGTTGCTGAACTCCCATTTAGTCGACCACGGTTCAAGTCCTGGACCTGGCGGCTTAAACTCACACTGGGCGCATGTGCATGTGTGCCCAAGATCCCGAGAGGAGAATGGAGGAGAAGGGATTGCAGCGTGGCCATCCCCCCTGGGGGGTGATTTCTCATTCTGTGCCTCTGTCTCTCTCTGTCTTTCTGGTGAGCGCACGCGCCCTATAGTGAAAACCTCTCAAAAAAAAAAGGAACAAATAAAAAGAATAAGAAAATATGTAATTTTGTTAACATGTAGTGAGTTTGTAGTTATTTTAAATGAATTAATAAATATCGTAAGCATCCATCCATTTTAATTTTTAAAATAGTAAATATCAATATATGAAACCCATATATGCAAGTTGTCTGGGATCTAGAATGTCATGGAGTCTTGGTTACAAAGCTGCAGTTAGACAAGAGGAAGAAATGCTACCTCTTTAAGGTGATTGATATGTTAGTTAGCTTGATCAAACCATTCTACAGTACACATAAATCATAACCTCACTATGCACTCCATAATTATATGTTATATGTTATTACGATTTGTCAGAAAAACCCACTATAAAAGCTATTTTCAGGGCCAGCAGGTGGTGTGGTGGTTAAGGGTGCTGGACACCTGGACACATGTCTGACTGCAGTACGAGTGCCAGACCTGGTGGCTTGCTTTCTCAGTTTTTCTCTTTCTCTCTCTCTCTCTCACTCTGTCCCTCTCTGGGCAAATTTAAAACAGATAAATAAATCAAGTTAAAATAATTCTTTAAAAAAAGCTATTTTCTAGTATGAAAGTGTCTTAAGATGGAGAATATGTGATAGGATAATATTTTTTAATAATAATGGTAACTTTTTCCTCCTAATATTTCCACTCTTCTTTTCCTTTTCCACCCCCTTCCAGTCAAGCAGGTAATCTTTGTGATTCATTCCTTTAAAGGAGAGAGATTACCCGTGGAAAGCAGAAATGGTGCCTAGCTTTTGTATTTCCAAAGGCCTAACCTATTAAGGAAATTATTCTAGGTGCTTTGAAGCAGTAATAGCTAAATGGAGCAAGCACCACTGAGAGAAAAATAACAGCAGTATTAGGACAGAGCAGCTTTCCCAGGACTGGAAAACTATTTCTAACTTTCTGAGGTTTGTGGAGGAACAAAGATAGGAGGAGGTAAGGGGATCAGGGCTGGCCTGAGGGGGCCAGGAAGACAGAAACTAGTTACTGCTCAGCCACGATAAGGCATCTTCCAGTGTCCAGGAGCCAGAAGGAGCTGGGAACTGGCACTGTCTAAATCCAGAGTCTCTGAGAGCCAGCCATCCCCTCCCCATGCTGGTGACCGTCAGCAGGGGTGACATCACTTGTCTGATCTGGCCTGCACAACTGCAAACATTCCCAGCCCATCAGAAGCCAGAGGGAGGGTGACTGGGGCCCTGGACACCTTCAGGAACAGCTCTATTGTTCCCTGCAAGTAGAGAGTCTGATGGAATCGACTGCAGATCCACCTGAGCTGGGAGAGCAGTTTAACATGTCTTGAATATTAGGAGTCCTGGACATACCCTTTGGAGCTCTACAGTAAGTAAAGGCCTGTGCTTCCTTCTAGCAGGAGTTGTGAACTGATTGCACTGTGAAGCATTTATTTTGGTTGCTTATTTTCATCAGAATGCCTTAGGGAAGAAAAGGAACTCTGGAGGGCCCACTGTTCTGCCTCTCATTCATTCAGTCAGCCTTCCCTGCCTTGCCATTGAGGATATTTGACATTTCTTGCCAAACTATACACCGTCTTTGACCTAATGTAGGGCAATTTCTTGAGATGAAACCCTGAAACTATACAAAATCAGGAATTTGAGAGTTTTTCTGGGGAGTGAGTCTTCACTTTCACCAAAAGGAGTCTCTGACACTTGGGTTGGAATCTTGGTTACTATTCACTGCTGTGTGACCCTGAGCATGTCACTTGACCTGTCTGAGCCTCTATTTCCTCATTTGTGAAATGGGAATATTAATGGTATCTACAGGGCTGGGATGGGAAGAAAATGAACTGTCGGGTTATTGGAAAAGTCATGACACATTTTTGCACAGAAAAAATCACGTAAAACACTTTGAATGACAAACTCTTCCTAATTGTTAGCCATTATTATAGAGGGAGACCACAGAGGAGAGAGAAGCCTGTGTCTAAGGGGCCAACCTAGAACAGAGAGGTGAGTGAGGGCACCTTGGTGACCTCAGACCGTCTTCAAAACAGCCTGTGTAGCCGTCAGAGTTCACATATTAGCAAAGGGTCCTGGCATAAGCCTCACTTTGGAAACAGGCAACATGCCTTCTCCAAATGTGGCCAAAAAGGCTGCCAGTTGCTGGGCCATGAGTGATGAGATAGATGAGATGAGATAAATCCATATATAAAATGTACATGGCAACCTGCAGAGTAAAAAAATTAAAGTTTTAAAAAAGCAAGCCTGAGAAAATGGTGGACAGCATGATCCCATTTTCATTAAGCGCAGAGTACATATTATATTAGAAGTACATATGCATATACTTCTGTATGCATTTGCCTGCATGCGTGGGCAAAAATACCTATTTAGAAGAATTAAAAACTAATCACTATGGGGGCCAACAGAGACATGGTGGGTAAAGTGGCTGGATTTCACATGGCCAACTGCACAGTTTGAGTCCCGGACCCAGTGACTGAAAAAAAAAAAAATCCAGCACATGTGCATGCATGCCCAAAATCTCCGGAGGAGAATGAAGGAGAAGAAATCGCAGCATGGCACCATCCCTCATGGAAGGTGCTTTCTCATTCTCTCTCTCTCTCTCTCTCCCTTCTCTTCCCCCAGCGAGGGCAAACACTCTATAGAAAGAAAAGAAAAAAAACCCTAATTATTATTGCCTCTGGTAATAGAATTATGGAAATATAATATCTCATTCTGTCTCTCTGGTGAGTGTACACACCCTATAGCAAAAGTCTCTCTTGAAAAAAACAATCAAACAACAAGTGTGAATCACTTTTGTAATCAAAAGGAAAAAAAAGTGATAAGCTACTACATTCTGGGGGAGGAAAAGGATTTTATATAAGAAAGGAAAATATTTGACTTTTTAAAGTTAAAGTAGTACAACAAAAAATACAGTATTTTCCCCAGGGGCAAATGGACAGAGTAGGTGACAACACGGATCCCCCTGCCTGGAGCCTGGGCTTCTCAGGAGCAGCTCTCAGAATGGACAACTTCTCGCAGCACTATAGGGTACATCAGGGCTGTCACACTGAAGGCATTTGGCTCACTCAAAACCCAGCGGGACTTCCCTTTCTGCTCTAGGCGAATTAATAAACTCATCTGTTCAGACTCAGACATGATACTTTTCTTTTTTTGGAGAGCTTTTTGCTATAGGGCACGTGCACTCACCAGAAAGAGAGAGAGAGAGAGAGACAGAAAGTGAGAAATCACTCCCCAGGGTGGATGGGTACACCACAATTCCTTCTCCTCCATTCTCCTCTTGGGATCTTGGGCACACACGTGCCCGGTGTGAGTTTAAGCCGCCAGGTCTGGGACTCAAACCGCGGTCAACTACATGGGAGTCCAGCAACGTAGCCATTACGCCATCTGCTGGTCCCAGAAGTGATACAATTTTTTAAAAAATTTATTTGTTTATTTATTTTAATTTTACCAGAAAGAGAGAAGAGAGAGAGAGAAAGCCACCAGGTCCAGGACTCAAATCATGGTCAGCCATGTGGGAGTGTTTAGCACCTTAACCACTATGCCACCTGCTGGTCCCAAGAAGTGATATGTTTTTACATTTACACATGAAAAGAGGAGACAGGTGATAGGAATTAAACTTTTCAGTCACGTGAGGTATTGGACACAGGAAAAATTAGAGGTCAAGCTGGGAAAACTGGAGGTGGCCTGGAGTAATTCCAGACACATTTACTTGGTATCAATAATAGATTTGGTTTTTTTTCAGAGAGATTTTTGCTACAGGGCGCATGCACTTTCCAGAGCAACTGAGAGAGACAGAAAGAGAGAAATCACCTCCCAAGGGGGATGGCCGTGCCACAATTCCTTCTCCTCTGTTCTCCTCTCAGGATGTCGGGCATGCACGCACACACATCTGATGTGAGTTTCAAGCCACCAGGTCCGGGACTCAGATCGCAGTTAGCTACATGAGAGTCCAGTGATGTAATCATTATGCCATCGGCTGGTGCCACCCACTCAGAGCTTTTTAAAAGGAACTTGAATAAGTTATGAAATTGAAATTCTCATTGGAATTACTATTTTCATGTGTGCCTTTCTCTTTGGATCTGATCTTTCTTTTCCTTTTTTTGGGAGGAGGAGTGCAAGAAAGACAAGCATTCACACTCAACACAGTCTCACAACACTCCCCTCCCCTCCAAGCCCTTCCAGTGAGTCAGGATCACAGGTACCCACATTCAACATGAACAGGCCCACTGGGAACTGGACCCGTGGCCTTCCACGTGGATGCAGTCTTGAGCAGTGCATTACTGCTGTGCTACTGGGGCAGCCTGATCACTCTTTTCTTGCTAAGACCATGCTAAACATTCAATACCACTACAGATTTCCTTGGGGAAAATTTTTATCTTGCTGTGTAGGCAACTTTATGGGAATGTCTTATTTTCACACACGTACTGTGAGATAGCTGTATTCATTTGGCACAGATAGAAAGCAATCTCAATTAGAGGCCTTTTGTCTTTATTTGCAGCAGGCAGTTCACCAATAAATGCATTTTAGAGCATGGTTCACCATGAGCATTAGAATGGAACCAATTTTCTGTTAGAACTGAAGCATCTATTCACCACATTACTTGTTCAGGCCTCTCACACCTTGACAGGCAAACTCTTAGCACAAGATTTGTTTCTTCTATTCTTTTAGACCCCCCGCCCCCAAGCAAGAAACATTTGCTAAATGCCTAGCTAGGGATTTCAACATTGCTAACCTTACAAAAATGTTTGTGGTAATGGTAGTGTTGGGGTTGCTATACTACCAGACTTACTGCAAAGATTTTTTTGAATGATTGTGCACATGAAACCTGCCAAATCATTAATATTGCAATTGGTCATTCCTTACATTATGAAATTCTTAAAATGAAAATAACAATCATACACTGAGAGAACTGGAAGGTTGTCTTGTGCGGCTCTCTCTGGCTACGTATGAGAAAGTGGGTCTTTGAAAGATCAGGAATGTGGGACCAGCAGTTGGCGTAATACCTATGCCGCTGGACTCCCATGTAGTCGACTGTGGTTGGAGTCCCGGACCTGGTGGCTTAAATTCACGCTAGGCACATGTGCGTGTGTGCCCAAGGTCCCGAGAGGAGAATGGAGGAGAAGGGATTGCGGTGTGGGCATCCCCCCGGGAGGTGATTCCTCTCTTTCTGTCTCTCTCTTTCTAGTGAGCACACACGCCCTATAGTAAAAACCTCTCAAAAAAAAAAAAAAAAAAAAGGAAAGGAAAGATCAGGACTGTGGGGACAGCAGGTGGTGTGGTGATTAAGCAGCTGGACTCCCACATAGCCAACTGTGGTTTGAGTCCCAGAGCTGGCAGCTTGAAAATCATGCTAGGCGCATGTGCATGTATGCCCAAAATCCCAAGAGGAGCATGGAGGAAAAGGGATTGCAGCATGGCCACCCCCCACCCCCACCCTGAAGGGTGATTTCTTACTTTCCCTCCTTCTTTCTCTCTTCAGCGAGTGCAAATGCCCTGTAGCAAAACCTAAAAAAGAAAGAAAGGAAGATGAGGAATGCTATCTACAGTTTCATAACTAAGAATTGGAAAAAAAAAATTACTCTTAATGCCATGCTCTTTTTATCACAAGAAAGCATGCGTCTGTCAATCCCATATCTGTTTCAGAGATACCAAACATTCCCTCCTCTCTACTCACATTCCACCTTGGAGACTGCCCTACTCACAATGCTGGGAGAGAGAGCACTACATGCCATGTGACTGTGCCCCACCAGTCTTAATGACTGACCCAGGGGTAGACATCTGACTTAAGCTGGGTTGATGGAATTCTCTCCCAGGAATTTGAAGTAGGGACAAAGAGGCTGAGTCACTTAGCTATGTGGAGTCAAACTGCAGGGTCATGCCCAGCTGGCCTGCCTTAACAGGCCAAAGCTTCATGCTAGCCAGAGTGAAGGGAAGCTGAGAAACCATGAGTCATCAAATGAAAAACAGTCTGCAAACAGGAACACAAGGATAGAGTAGACACAAGCCTAGAGACAAACAAACCATGTACCTTGAAAGATAGAAAGGAGAAAAAGAGGGAGGGAGAGAGAAAAAAAATCTGCATAATCCCCTTCTTGTTCTTACAATGCCCAGCAGCTGTATCTCCTGCTCCAGCTTATTATAACCCCATAATAACCTCTGCCTTTCAATCAATCCTCTTTTCATTCGAGCTAAGTGGAATTCTGTTCCTTGCATGCAAATTCTTCCTCAGACACTTCGTAGTTCATACTGAATATATTTTGGGGTGGAAAGACTGTTCTGCTTTTCATGACGATTATGGAAATTGAGGTCTTGTCTCAAAACCCATAACAAGATGAGCAACTTTCTGCATCCACCTTCCCCACCCCC